ACAAATTTAAAACCATACATCACATTCAAAAACATTCATCAAACACATAGTCGACCATAATAGTGGATTAACTATTTTCCTACAAAACCGAGTTATGCAAATATAATCCAATATATGGCTGCGTTTGAACACATTTTGTCAAATAAAGCGGTAAAAATTCAAACTTTGTACAAAATTAACCAAATGCTCTGATCCCACTTGTTGGGATCTGTGAGGATCTCGTTATGTACAAATCACGAATTCAATAGCAAACGTAAACCTATGCGCAGCAGATCTAAGGGTTTGACGTAGAAAACTTACGGCTTAAAATTTATGTAGATCTGGTTGACCACGAACGGTTGACCGCAAATCACGTCTTGGGTTGCACGAACAAGATCAGATCAAAATCGGATCAAACGGGTGCAAACAGATGAAGACGAACTTTGCAGCCAGCGAGCTCCCGGCGGCGCGTGAGGGCGCATGCGGCATTGGACGGCGGCGATCTCGGCGGAGATGGAAAGCTCTCGTCGAGATGGTCGTCTGGGTATGCTGTGCGCCTCAATTGAACCTCTGTTTAGTTCTGTAGGACAAAATATATTTTGTCACACCCCGCCTTACTACTAGCTTTGAAAATCAGAGTAAAATTTTTGATTTTATTTCAAAAGAACGTGCGAGCTGGGTTTTCGAAAATACTGACTTATTGCGGGATGTGGCAGATAAAAACTTAAACTGAAACTTGGGCTTGCCCACAGACATAATAAAACATGCAACCAAACTGTCCGCTCGCGGATTATGGAATTATACATGCATAGTCTGTACTGTCTCGCACTGTCTAGAAAAACTCGCTGACGGAAGCATCCGAAATACGAATACATAACATGCGTACATAAACTGAATAAAATACACATGATCATAAATCTAGGACATAAAAATGCTGGTAAAATATGTCCGACTCTCATGACCACGCTGCGCCACATCTGTGCTCATCCGGCACGCTCAACTCCGTCTCCTGAAAAATACAATGGGGGCGTGAGCAAACCACTATGCTCCGCAAAGACCAGTACTGAACAAAACATCATCTATAATAATGTATCATGAAACATAAATATATAAGAGCTGAAACTGTAAACTGATCTCTGATGTCTGTTCTGATCTGTGGTCAAAAGACCCTCGGCCTTAGCCGCTCGTGTGCACACGCCGATGGGGGTAGAAAGGGCCTCGCCCCTCCCAACGGTCATCAGGTGGGTATAAAGGCCTCGGCCACCCAACCCGAAACTAAACTGTCTCAAACATACCTCTGCCATGGTACAGATATTATCTATGATGTGACATCCAGTACATGACCCCCACCTGAATACTTGAAAATCTAAACGCAAGTGCGGATGCTGGAGTAGCGGTCGGAGGCTCGACTCTCCTTAGGCTACATAAATATTTAAGCAAAATAATGCTAAGTATAATGCTCAGAATATTTAATTATATGCTAAAATGCTCGGACTTGTCTACGCGATTAAACTGGACTGGACTGGCTCGGAAAAATACTGAAATTTCCGGAACTGGACTCAGATCAGAAATCACGAATCAAAGCTGACTCGAACCGCCGGTCGAACCGGCCGGTTCGCTGGCTGGCTGGACCGCCGGCTCGACTGGGCCGGGCGGTCGGGCTGGGTTCGGCTAGACCGGGCTCGGTCCCGTGCCGGGCCAGCTGGTGCCCGGGCACGGCGCTGGGCACGGCTGGTGCGACCGGGCTCGGTCCCTGGTGCCGCTGGACTTGGCTAGGCGCGGACTGGCGCTGGTGGGCACGGATAGGCACTGGCCAGACACTGCTGGCACGGGGAAGGCACGGACAGAGACCACACGGGCGCTGCCGGGTGTCCCCGAGGTCACTGGGCACTCGGGCATGCTGCTGGGGCATGCACCGAGGCCAACTGGGCTCAGCTGGCCCGGCTCGGGTCAGCCCTGGACTTGGCACGAGGCTCTGGCACGAGACCTCGTGCACTGGGGCTTGCACGGGCGCTGCCGGGCGCCGTGCGCATGGCTGGGCACGCTGGGTGCCATGGCCACGCGTGCTGGGGCTACTGGGGCTTATGCTTGGCACACGGGCACGCACTGGGCGCTGCGGGCGCTGTTGCGTGCACGCGGGCTGTGCCTCGCGCCTACCGGGCGCGGGCACTGGCTAAGGCTACCCTCTGCAGGCACGGACAGGCACTGGGGCCGGGCACTACCGCACTACGTGCGCGGCCAGTGACCAAGGCCGGCCCTTGCCGGACCTCCGGCGACTATTTCCGGCAACATGCATGACCATACAACATAATATGATAAGATAAGCACAATTAACATATAAATCACTAGTGGACCCCGGTTCCACTTGCATGTTCACTCGGTAGGGCTTATATGGCCCGTACGAGCACTTGACGTCCGAACCAACATACATAACTTGAAAAACTACTCAGGGCCGAATGTTATACATGTAAATTCATGACTATAGAGGCTAAAACATGTGGCACATATTGCATGCAATGAACTAGGGTTCGGGTGCCCATTTTAACATATTTTCGAGCATGATTTGACCAAGGCAATGAACTCATTTTATTCTCAAATTTTTACACCATCAATGGTATGATATTTGAGGGTGTTTAAACAAGAAATCTCGACTTAGACATGCTTCCTACTCGAATTTCATTTTTAAGGTCATTTATTTCAAAAATTCATAACTCACATATAATGACATGCATGGCTCGGTTTTTCTTCATGAAAAATCTTAAAATGTCATAAAATAATTTATGAAGTCATTGGTCACGAGCTTACCTCGGCTAGAATGGGAGAAATGGTGCTAGGGCTCGAAATGGCTTGGTACGGCTTTGAATGATTTATCTTGAGTTGGTGTTTGATTTGGCCGAGCCTTTTGAACTCTCAAGACTTAGAAAAATCTAAGGAATGCTTAGATACTGCTAAGCCTCGAGAGAAAATGGCTGGAACACGAGGTGGCTGCCTTCTCTCCTTCCCTGGGGCGCGCGCGCAGGCGGCAGGGCTGGTAGCTTTGCTCTCGGTTTTCTCCTCCCTCCTCACTATTTTTCTCGAGCTCCAATTTGTGTAAGAGCTTAAAATGGACTAAGGGAGGGGTCTTAAATAGGTGTTGAGGGCGGAGCTTACTATGTTGGTCAAGGGAGCCAAATTAAGTGGATTTCACCACATCACATGCATGGGGACTTGAGGATGTTGGGGCATCTTTTAGCACGGTTTTTGGAGAGCATTTGGTGGTATTTAAAGAGTATTATACTGAAGAAAAACAGGTCTGGTCGGGCATCCAAGATGGTGGGGGACAAGGACAAACTTCCTTGATTAAAATAATGGTGGCACATGCTCCATTGGCTTAGGCACTAATTGATTCTCCTTAAACATTGCTTAGGGTAACTTAAGCTTAATTTGTCCCACATTAAGTCCTAATTACACGCCTGAGTTGGGCCATGAGGAAAGTGGGCCAAAAAATGATGTTTTGGGCTTATGAAGTTGGGCTGGCAGGGCTGTCGCTGGGCCTGCTGGGCCTGCTGGGCGCGACACTGGGCCCTGGGCGCGAGGGGCGCGGGCTGGGCGCGGGAAGTGGGCTGCTCGCGCGTGGAGGCTCCCTTGGGCCGATCATGGGACTTCTCTTGAAACCAAACACTTAGAAAAATTTTGCAACATGATACTAAGGCTTAGGACAAGCCTTGAGCTCGGTGGCATTTTCCCGGGCGCGGCTCGAGGCGCGGGTGCGGGACTCGGCACGAGCGGCTCGGGTAAGGACTAGGGCTCGGTTAAGATGATCAATACTTATACTTTGATGTTATTATACACTTAGAAAAATATTCTAAGTATAAAAATACCAATACTTGGCTATGCTCGGGATTTACCCGAAAATTAACTCGGAACCAAACTAGGGTTCGGAGTCGATCAATTCTCGATTTGACTTGTTATTATTACCAACCCAAATTAATGGATTAATCTTAACTTATACTTGAGATAGAATTATTCAAAGAATATTTTATCATGGTTGAGCATTTAGCATAAATAATATAACTCGAATAACTTCTGAAATTACGGATTTCACTTATAGTCGAGCAGTGAAACCGTTCTTATTCTTATTACTGTTTTGGGGTGTTACATATTTCGTCTCGGTTAACCTACAGATCTTCTACTATATTACTCAATACACCCTTCTTCAACTTGTATCAGTGGAGCAACAAGAAGAAGATAAAACTCGAATGAGATTTAGAGAGAGATGAGAGGCGTGGGCGGCGTGTCTGTATAATGGACAGATGTCTACTCTTCTCATGAGCTTAATGATGTATATATAGAGCTACAGGAGGGACCCTTAGGATATTAGGAAAAGGGCTCCTTAATTAATTAGACTAAATGTGGGCCAAGCTCACTCCTCTAATTAATTAAATAATATTAATGGGCCACCAATATTATATTATTGCACTCCCTTTTCCTAGCTCAAATTACATTTGAGACTCCATAATAATTACTCGATTTACCTCCCCACGTTTAAGATATAATGTCCATTAATTAATTCGATTACTGACAATCAAGAATTAATTAATTTATTATTATTTCACCGAAGCTAGCGCTCGTTCATCACATTCTTATTATGCCGGAACTTAATCCACCTGCAGAGTTTAGCATAACAATCCTTCATGAACTCACTCCGGGGACATCATCAAACTAACGCACATGGTGACCGTAAATATCCTAACATCACATTCTATATATAATAATATTACCCAAAACAGTATGAATATTAATCCAGCGAACTGAACCTTACCCACGTGAATCAAAGTAATATATATTATATATATCTGTCTGTTTAATATCTTACGGGTTAAGAGAACGCAGTAATTAACCGAGGCCTAGTTCATTTACGACGATTAGTATAAAATGAACTTCTTCTCTCTGGGATCCTGTTCAATACATAAATGTACTAGTGCAACTAATCAGTCAAGACAAACTGTACAGTTGACACTACAACCGTTCGGATGGGGTGTTCATGTCCATCTAGGTTGTGAACAACTATTCTTGTTCGCAAGTAACTGATAGAGTGATCTTCGGTTCGCCCGATGACGATCCACCCTATCTAAGTGCAGAACAACAGAACGTAAAACTTGTTTAATCTAACATGATTCTCATTCATAAATGGTAAATGTGTAATAACATGCAAAGCCAAGCTTTCAGAATATAACACTAACATAGATGACCTGATACGCATAATTTCTCGTCTCCTTCGAGTATGTCTTTGTCCTCATGGACAAACATTGGAGCATAAACCACCTTATCCTTCGCAACAAACTTCTTCAATCTTATCGTCCTGTCTTTAGCAGCATAAGTAACAATCCGATTAAGGCCACTCACAACCTTTGGGTTCACCTTACAAATAAAAGTAACTTGGTCAAAATGTCCATTTAATTCACGTGTACATATCCCGTCCGCTCTCCATCTTCGACCGAAACTGTTATAGGATCGTGACATCTTGACACGCTCCCTATCGATGAGAAAATCAAATGGCTCTAACTCCTTGTCCTCATTTTCCGCTAGATGGAGATTATTGTCGAGAGCTGAAAGGCCAAAGCGAGTGGGGTTGGCTGGTATGGAGATAGAAGCTCGCGGTATCATGCTTTCATCAATTCTCGTTGGCGACGCACCCTCACGGTCCTCGCACCCGTTAACTGCAATCCAGCTAGACCATGTCTGGTCTACATAGACATGCGGCTCCATCACTGTCTCTCCGATCCAGCGAGACCAAGCCTATTTGCATCCACAGTGCTTCAGCTTACGACCGTCTAGACCCTTAACTATACACCTTCGTCGTTGGCCGTTAGGCTTTACAATCTGGCAGGACCAAGTTGTCCCACGCTAGCTGCCTTTGTTTCGCCGATAGAGGAGTCTAAACTCCCAGCGCCCTCAATTTTTCACAAGTGTTGTGTACCGCTTTGCTCTTGCGATCAATGGCAATGTCATTTCTTGTAATTCTAATATATTGGACAAATTGTTAGCCCCAAAAAACATCTCATCTGACTTTCCTTATATTTGTTCCAGAAATGGAAAAATTTTCGACTCTAGTTTAGCCTGAACCACTAGAGTTGGAATAGATCCAAGTGTTGATATTTGCCGCTTGCATTGTTGTCCTTTCTCTAGCTGATCTGGTATTGGTCCAATGGACAGATGTCACACTTGATCATCTTCATCCATGATCAATAAGGGAGAATAAGCACCGAACTTATTCGTCCATGTGTCTAGACATCGAAACGAAGTGGACCCTCAAACTCGGTCGGTTCTTGCTCGTCCAAAAATGTGGTGACTTCTATATCCTCATAAAACTTGAGAATCCTAAACAAGAAAGATTAATCCCAACACCGATCGTCAGTGAACCGGCCCTCGTCTCCCTGGTTCGTCCCCTTCGACCGGTTGTCCTCATTATCCATAAATTCACTCCGAAATTCCATCCTCTTCTCTGACTCGCTCGCTGGTTTTGCTGGTGTTAATTTTAGTTGTCTCGCTGGTGTTTCTGGCGCGCGGGGCCTCGCGGCTGTTGTCGGGTTTCATGCCCACGATCACGTTGATGAAGATATGATTATTTACCCCGCCTCGACCGACGACCACCGCAGCCGCATGCCAAGCCAAAAGACGCAGGAGTGGCCGAAGGAACCGTTAGGACTGTGTCGGGCTGCAAGGGGCACGTAAGACCGTGCAAGGTAGTAGGCCCGTAGCCGAGCAAAAGAGACAACGAACGGGAGTGACCAGGCAACACCCAACAAAGGCAGGGGACTCGCGGGCGTGCCAGCACATCCGTTGCGTTGAGTACTGAGACCAGACAGGCACGCGTAGAACATATCCGATTATTTGCACACGGGCAAGAAGGATTGTTGTTGAGCAGAACGTGCGAGCCGATGCGGAGAGACCCTGGAGAACCGTTGGACACGGAATGCCTCCTGGCCGAGAGAAGCTTGGAGAGCAAGTCTTTTAGACGACTCCAGTTGATCTTGGAGATCTATTATTATTATTATGTTTCCTAGTTTATAGTTTCCTAGTTGATGCCAATAAGCATGTTTCTAGTTAATTAACATGTGCATAATTATTTATTTCCTTAGGAGTAGTATTTGATTCCTAACAGGTTAGTATTTCTATTTCTCATAGGCTTGGATTTCCTCTCCTATAAATAGCCTATGTATTCATCTTCTTAGAAAGACAATTAATGAAATATCAAAAAACTCGTCTTGAGCACAATTCTTCTATGTTAGAACTAGGTCGATAATGTGGGTTATGTCACAACTTATCGTGTCTAAATGAAGGCTGTTAGTGCGCATTTCTACACAAATCGAGTCAAGATACACAATTCTTCATCATTAGTGCCTTCATTGAGAGTGTGGATCGTGTATCTTCCCTATCTTTTTCGTTTTTCTTTTGAGTTATTGAGAATTTATTCGAGAGTCAAAACAAATAATAATAATTTTGAGTTCACCTTTCCCATGACGAATCGAGAACGACTCAAAGCATTGGAGGAAAGCCTGAGGTCCATAAGCGGCGGTCAACACACCACAAACAAGAACATAGCAAGAATCGAGCTGATGGTGCACGGTCTAGCCACACAGCTCGCACGAGTCACGTGACGTCCATAGAAAATAGCTGATCATATTCATCATCAGATGGGTCGAGTGGTTCGGAGTCAGAACATGACGAGACCGACCATCGAACAAGGGGATCGAGGGGATTAGTTCGCCGAAAGGAACAAAGGTTTGAGAGGTCGAGACTCACTCTGCCTACATTTAACGGAACCGACCTGGATGCGTGGTTGAGTCAAGCCACGAAGTACTTCGATATCAATGACGTGCCCAAAGCCAAGAGGGTGAGACTTGCGGCTTACTATTTAGATGGGGAGGACAATATTTGGTTGTAATGGATCTCGCATGTTTACAAGAAAAAGGACGAGCGCATTCGACGGAGGGATTTTAAGAAAGAGCTAATCACACGCTTCGGATCGTCCGATTATTATGACAATGACGAGGCCTTGTCTCGTATACATTAAAGTGGCAGCCTCCAAGAATACAAAAAAGTGTTCGAGCACATCATAAGTCGCGTGCGTAATTGTGTCGAAAAGCGTGCCCGTGGGAGCATTCATTGGATGTCTTAGGCTTGAACTCGCTGCTGAGGTACCGCTCGATAGACCCGGTCGATGCAAGCAGCCATGGAAGCCACCCGTATGCACGAGGACCTTCTAGTCGCAGTGCGTAGAGCCAATTATGGAGATGGACGCAAGGAGCAACGCAGTGCAGACAAGCATGCGGACAACCACCCCTAGGTCGAGGGTGAGAAACCAGTGGACAAACCGACACCAGTTCCAGGATATATACGACGGATGACTCTGAAGAGATACAATGGCTCAGTGAAAAAGGCCTATCCTTTACGTACAATGACTTGATTGAGTCCTTTAGTCCCGACAAGGAGCCCGCGTAAGATGAACCCCAATACGAGGATTATCAGAATGAGTCCATTCACGTGATGCGAGATAAATGAGGACCTAGGATGATACAATTTCCCAAAGGAATACATGACCGAAATGTCGATGTGATAGTCGATGTTGGCTCATCCCTCAAGTTTATTAATGCCATGTTGTCTAAAGAGTCGGATATACCAATGACCGTCATAATGCCTTCGATGTACGAGTGACGAGTGGGGAATAACTGAAGTACACGATGTTGTTTTGAAAAGTGCCCATTCACGTACAAGGTGAGACCTTAATCGCCGACCTCTATGCGCTGCCATTGTTTGGACCTGATGTTGTGCTTGGGGTCCAATGGCTGGAAAGTCTAGGACCAATTACCACTGATTACAAGGCTGGACAATGGAGTTCTGAAAGAGAAAAATGAAGGTCAAACTAAAAGGCCATCATCGAACAATCAAGTATGATTAAGCAAGCGACCTTAGAGTACATTATCCTTCAAGACAAGAAAGTTCTCGAAGAGGGTGAGAATGCTGAAGATCTGATTTTTGACCGCCTTGACCGACGACCACCGCAGCCATATGCCAAGGCAAAGGATGCGGGAGTGGTCGAAGGACCCGTCAGGACCGCACAAAGGTACGCAGGACCACGTCGGGCTGCAAGGGAGCACACAAGACCATGCAAAGAAATAGGCCCGTAGCCGAGCAGCCAGACAATGACCATGCGGGACCAGACAACACCCAGCAAAGGCACAGGTCTCGTGGGCATGGCAGCACATCCATCACTTCGAATGGCCTGTCGAGCTTGCCCTATAGCAGCAATGGTCGCAACTTCGACCTCCTTCCTTCGACTGGCTTTCTCCAACTCGAGCGCATTGTCTTTAGCTTTAAGGTTTCTTCTAACGATGTTCGTCCTTCTTCAGTTGGTTGGTCAGCTCGTGGCGCATATCAAGCAGCTCATGGTTCTCGGCCTTGAGCCGTATATTCTCTTTCTTGATGCATTGATTATAAGTCTCGAGCACAATGAGAGGTTGACCTGAGCTGTCCAAGGTCTTCTCGAGCAGATGAACAACGAAAACAAGAGTATGCGAAAGAAAAGGGAATTTGAGTAGGTCGAGTAATGCTAACTTGAAGATTATAGATGTTACGACATATACCTGAGTCAGAGCGCGAATAATATATTCGCGCTGTGCTTTTTTGTCGATATTCCAGCAATGGGTGTCTTCAATGGGAAGAAAACCCATTAAACGAAAGAACGCTTCCTTGGGACCAGCTGTCACCAAGGAAGTTTGGATACGGGCGGCGGAGTTCGAGGCCTCAAGGATCTTCACCTCGAGGTGAAGTCGTTTACTGGAGAGGTCAGGGAGATCAAAGGTTTACTCGGAAGAATTGACGATGAATACCTTATAACATAGTCGTTTCTTAGTCGAGACATCGATGGGCTTGCACGGATGGTTAGTCTGCTGGTTAGTTGGATTAGAAATGAAGTAGGAAATGTTTGCTTTGACGAGTCGGTAGTGGCGCCTGCTTTCTCAGCTCGAGTGGAAGTGACCTTATTGGATAAAGTCTTCTTGCTCTTCTCGGGCTCGGTCAAAGGATCTCTTGGAATAGGCCCTTTGTCGGAGGAGGAGAGTCCTTTGAGATTAGGGTGATTTAAGAATCCTTCGACACGAAATAAACAACAGAGAGTTAAGCACAATACACATATATACTGTGGAAAATTCTCAAAGGATATATTGACACTTTATGGTCGAACACCTCATGATATACTAGATTTGCTGATGCAAATATCGGCAAGGGTCTGCTCGAGAGGAGGAGGATATAGCTTGTGGGTGAGAATACCAAAGTGATGCAAGAGGTGGTTATCTTTAGCAGAGGAATAGAAGCAACATGATTTGAGTTCCAAAAGGCGATAAATTGGTCGAAGGCGGGGTTGTGATGAGGACTCTCAGTTTCAAAGGAAAGTTCCTTGAGCCAAGGAGTGGAGGCCCAAAGGTAAGAAGTGCTAGGTTCGACATACACGAACTTATGTTTCTACTTAGAGACGTCAGAGGGGATATCAAAAATAAAATGTGCATTGTTTCTACTTGTTAAGTATAAACCACCAGCCTGTTTCGAGGCTAAGTAGCAGTGGAAGAAGAATCCTAGGTCGACTCGACCTAGGCGAACCATGGAGAGAATGACGAATGTGGTCAAGATTCAAATGGCATTGGGAGGAAGCTGGTTCAAGGCTAAGCCATATAGTCTGCATAGCTCAAGTAAGACGTTGCGAATAGGAAAACGGAGACCTAAATCGAATTGGATATAAAAAAGGTATATGACCCCTCGGGAGGCTGGTCGCAGGTATCCTCCGCACTTAGGCTATACACAACCCCGGGATGGCCGACCACTTTAAGGTCTAGCTAATTGGTGTTGGTAGAGCGAGATCGGGAAGTTTTTGTACGACGTTATATTTTTGGGCGACTAACAGATGGATCAGTTTTTTTGGTTGAGGAGGATGACATAATGTTCAAGGAAGGTGACGGAGCAACTAGAGTCTTAGGTTTAGGAGAAGGGATCTTGGGCTCCTCCTTATTCTCCTCATCGGCTTCATTGTACAGACCAAATGGTCCCTGAGAACGTTTGAGGGGTGCAGGATGGCTAGAGGCACCCTCATCAGGGTTGTCGACAAGATAAGATGAAGGACAAACCTCGTCGGCCGATGGACTTTGTGGAGGGAATGTTGGTCGAAGGATAGTTAAAGGCTCAACTTGAAGGATTTCCTCAACAGAATTGCTGGGAGATGAGAATTGGGGTGTGGAAGTCGAGAAAAAAAGCGGGGGAGTCATATCCTTTCCAGAATGACAATCATTCTCACTCGAAGTAGTAGAATCTGAAAAAAGGAAAAGTAAGGAACAAGAGCGTCAAAAAAGAAGATTTGCTCTTGAGGGTTCGCGCGAAGTAAGGGCGAAAGGAGAGAAATTTTTGGCGATTGATGGATAGGGTGAGCAACCTAGGCAATAATACGAAAACGGATTAATCAAAAGTAAAAAAGCATAAAGAAAGAAGGAGAAAAAAAAACTTACTCATCATGAACAATGGAGTGATCGCTAGAAAAGTCTAAAAATCCAAAGTTGTAGAAAGCTTGGGAGAACTCAGTTGCCGAAAAGAGAAGATAACTTTAGAAAATTAGAGCACGAAAATTTGCAAAGGTGAAAAAAAAATCTCAAAGTGTTATGATAGGGGTATTTAGAGGATGAAGATGAAGAGGCGGCTAGGTCCTAACCGTTAGATCGCGATTGATTGAAAGATCACGATTAGAAAGATAGTGGAATCGACGTGGGTTTGACAACCGTTGGATTAAAGGCGTTACGGTCATCTCAGAACAAGCATTAAATGGGCGCAAAACACAAAG